CTCCCCATCTCGTGTGTGTGTGTGTGTGTGTGTGTGTGTGTGTGTGTGTGTGTGTGTGTGTGTGTGTGTAGTACGGTGGTGGTAAATACAAACTTTGTGCAGGTACCCTATGAGGCCAGAAGAGGGCATCAGATCCCCTGGAGCTGGCCTAACAGGTGGTTGTGAGCTGCCAGCATGGGTACTAGAAACAAAACTCTGGGAAAACAGCAATCACTCTGAACCATTGAGACATCTCTCCGGCCCAGCACAGTAGACTTGGAATAATAAAATCTCTGTGGAGATGAGGGTAATTCTAAGACAAAGACATACATTTCAAGCCATGAGCAATTGTGTCCCCCAGACCTGCTCCAAGCCTTCGCCATAAAAAGGAATACACAACTCTATTCATGGCTGATCTGCATATGGCACAGCCTCCTGGGGCTCTGGAGTGGCCTAGGGTACTCTCCTGTAATAAACACTCACTTTCCTGCGCTGTAGACCTCGCCTATGCTGCTGTCTAACTTACACGACACAAAGGACCTGCCTGGCTGATGCCATGACTCGTGAAGTAGTATTAAAAGGGTTGAGTTACCAAATTATAAAAGCCATGAGGAAGCTTAGATGTGCATTTCTCTCTTGATGAAAGCAGCTGGTTGAAAAGGCTACAGGCTGGCGGCTGCTGTGCTACCAGGCATATAGAAGCCACTTTTGCCAAAAAGCTCTGACTCCTCACCTGAGCTCACGGAGTAACTGGAATAGAATAAAAGCCTGGCATCTCCGCCTGCATTTTATGCCCGTCTCCTTGACTTTGGGTGAAATTCCTGCTAGTAAGCTGCCCTACAGTCACTTTCTGGGCCTGTGTGCCTGAAAACTGAGACACCCACCTTACCCTACCCCCCTTTACAGCTAAAACCCCAAGTCCTGACCCTAACCTGCAGCACCTTGGGTTCCAAGGGTGATAGACCCTGGCAGGCAGGATAGACCACACACAAGATGAGGGAAGGATACGCCTGGAGCAGATCACCTTAGAAAAACCAGACACGGCCCTCCGACAACAGCCATGGTTGACAACTTTGAATCATCTTGAAGGTCAAAAGATGAGATGATGAGGGGCCAAACCCTGACTGCTTAAATATGCACGTTTCTTGCCCCCTGCCACAGTTCATCCTGTTTGAACCAAAACTCTCTCCAAGACCCCAAGACAAATTTGGGGTCACCAAACCCCCTTATCTGCTGACCTCCCCAATGAACATCTCTCTCTGCCTTTCATCATTTCTTGTTTCCACAACTGGTGTGTTGGGATGGAAGGCAGAGCTTGGCCTGTAGGGACTGCCAGACTCAGGGGCCTTTGCTCTAAAACTTCAGTTAAACCAACCACTGCCTGAGTACTGGCTTCTTCCTTTGAGCGTAACAGGATCATCCCATTGCCATCTTGGAGTAGAGATAACGTTGGCTGGCAGCCATTAACCACTGCAAATAAATAAATAAATAAATAAAACAAGACAAAGATAGCCAAGTCTGTGGCAGACCTGAACTGGAGGGTTAACTAAAGGAGGCCCCATGGTGCAGCCTCCATGAAGTCATCATCTATGATGGGATGAGACTATGCCTTGATGTTTGGGGGCATCCATGTGCTGTGTGATGTTTGTGTTCTTTGGGGATGTTTGCTCTGTAGGTCTTTTTAAGGGGCCCACCACTCAGTTCCCCTCCCAAACACACACACACACACACACACACACACACACACACACACACACACACACACACGGAGGCTTATTCTTACTTATGCATGCCTAACCTTAGCTTGGCTTATTGCTAGTCAGCTTTTCTTAATTTTAAATTAAGCAGTCTACCTTTTCCCTCTGAGCTTTTATCTTTCTTATTTCTGTATATCTCACCTGGGTGGCTGGCTGGGTGGCTGACTGCTGAGTGGTTGGCTGGTTGGCTGGTTGGGTGGGTGGGTGGCCCCTGACATCCTCCTCTCCTGGTTCTCTTGTTGCTGCTCTTTCTTTCTTTCTGATTTTTCCTTCTATTTAAACTCTCTGCCTGCTATCCCCACCTATCCTTGCTCCTGCCTCGTTATTGGCCATTTGGCTCTTTATTAGACCATCAGGTGTTTTAGACAGGCAAGGAATCACAGATTCACAGAGTCAAACAACCACAATATAAATTGGAGTCACATACTTTAAAATAATATTCTACCACACCCATGTTCTTGTAATAAATTATTGACTCACCAGACTAAATTTGGGTGGAATCCTAACTTTGGTTTGCTGTTGGTACCTTATCTGAGGTGACCAGACTGGCTTGCTCATGTCGCCCAAGAAACATTAACATAAGAATTGCATGGCATTCCAGAAGAGCCAAAATTATGGAAACAGCAAAAGATTGTGTCTTTTGGGAAACAGGAATGAATACTCAGAATAAAGAGGGCTTTACACAGATAAACCACTATCTGTCCTACTGTACTGGTGGATACACAGCACACAGTTGTCAATACCCATAAGATATACACAAAAAGTAAACTCATGTGCACTTCTGCCTTGACCTGCACAGCTTACGGAATGAAAAAGCATCAGACACACATACCTAGAAAGGCTGAGATCGGGTGTGCTGGGCTCTCTAATGGAGACCCAGCAGCAGCCCAGAAAGGCAGCTCATTTACTGCACACCATGGGGGGGGGGGGCTCATTGTATACAGCTGAACAAGGAGGAACATTTATTATATGCATATAATGAGGAGGCAGGTGAGATAATCTTGGTAGGTGTTCCCTCTAGGAGAGCATTCTCAGCTTGTCCAGGAGCAGGACACCATGGTTGATGGTGTCTACATCACTGGTTTTAGCTAACAGTCATTTGTAACACCTATACTTAGACCATAGGAAGGCTCTGTCATTCCTCTGCTCCTGACCTAGGGAAGACTTTGCTATTTCCATGGGTCTGAAGCACTGGGGTCCTTGACATGACAATAATGCACATTCACTCAGGACTTCATTCCGTCCTCACGCACACGGACTTGGGTGGTCATTATGGGCCCATTGTGACAAATGTGTGATTCGGGTGAGGATGTTGATAATAAAGGAGGATATGCCTATGACAGGCAGAGGACAGTGAAGAATCTGTGTTCGTTCCACTCAATTTTCCAGTGAACCTAAAAGTACTTGATAAAAAATAACCCTCTTTAACGAGAAAGGGGCTATGCTATTACTTTTTCTGTCAGGTCAGTTTACTATCATTTGTAAAAGCTTTTAGTCCACGACAGGTTTAGGGACAGGAGCTGTTCTTTTGCCCCAAACTGAGTCGCTCTGTCCTGAACCAAAAGCTCTGGTCCCACAGTGGGAAGTGTGGACTCTCGCATCTGCTGCACTAGTCAGACTGTGCCTCCGTTTCCCCACTTGACAAACTGAGCAGAGAGAGTAACCAGATTGCACCAGTTAGGCCGTCAGCAAATGTCTGCTTCTTGTGGAAAAGGAGAGCAGGCGGGCAGCTGGAATTCGGAGCCTCACCATCAGGCAGGAAAGCAAGCCTCGGGGCAACTGGCAGCCAGACATGCCTGAGCTAGTCTTCATGAAGTGCAGAAGCTGGGAAAATCCTCCACTCTGGCCTCAGACACCAAGATATAGAGCTTGCTGGAACATTCTGAAGGAGGAACCCCTGTCCAGGTTTACCCTGTGCCAATCTCACAAAGTGGGCACTGTGTTCTTGCTCACTGAAGCAGAGCCAACCCTGATTGCACAGTGTTCTAGCCAGCCAGTCATCCTGAATGACATTTACTTCTCTAGTGAAGCCTTTGATGTTTCCACACTCAGTAACCAATGCTCTGGTCACATTTGAAATCCTTTGTCCCCACCTCTAGATCCCTTAATGACAGAACAGTCTACCCTACACACATTCAGTTTACCCATGAGCACTTATGCATGTTGTTAATACTTTATTTATTTACACACACGCACACACACACACACAAAAGCAGGAAAATGAATGGTATTACTATGAAGTACCCCCAATAAAATATGGTAGCATCATCGATATTGTAATATTACAGAGAGGGTAGGGGTCAAGGAAGAGAAGGAAGTCTTCCCCAACTGCTTCAGGTTCTAGAATTACATGAGCCATTTTGACTCTGCAGAGGCAGTTCTGATAAACTGAGGCAGCCCTCTGCCTCCTGGTAGCATTTTGGATGGTGATCTCAGGTTTCATGTCTTTCCCCCTTGGCTTGTAGCTGGCAACCACCCTGTCCTCAGGAAGGCTGCCGTGGAACACTTAACTATGTAAAGATGTGTTACATTTGTTTCTGCTGCCTTTGTTTAACTATGTGAAGATGTGTTGCTCTTGTTTCCCCTTGCCTGCCTAAGGCACCTGGTTGCTCTAGTAAAAACCTGAACATTCAATAGCTAGTCAGGAGAGGGCTAGGCAGGGCTGTAGGCAGAGACAGTAAGAGGAGAAATCTAGGCTCAAGAGAGAAGAAAAGAACAAGGCAGAAAGAGAGGGACACACCCAGACCAGGCAGCTGACAGCCAGGCAGGAGAAGCAGTGAAAGTATGACACACAAAGAGAAAGAAGGGTAAAAGCCCTGAGGCAAAATGTAGAGGAAGAGAAACAGGCTAAGAGTTCATAAATAAGAGTCGGTGGGGTCAGAAACAGCTGACCTGAACAAAGGGGGACCTCACAGACCCCAGATTGACAGCTCAGAAGCCAGCATAGGACAGAACCAGGCCCCCCGAATGTGGGTGTCAGTTAGGAGGCCTGGGCAGTCTATGGGGCCTCTGGTAGTGGAATAGTATTTATCCCTAGTGTACGAATGGACTTTGGGAGCCCATTCCCCATAGAGGGATACTCTCTCAGCCTAGACACACTGAGAGGGTCTAGGCCCTGCCCCAAATGATGAGTCAGACTTTGATGATTCCCTCATAGAAGGCCACGCCCTTTCTGAGGAGCAGAAGAGGGATGGGATGGGAGGTCAGTAGGGGGCATGGGAGGATAGGAGGGAGAGGGAGCTGGGATTGATGTGTAAAATAAGATTGTTTCTAATCTAAATAAAAAGAAAAGAGGAAAAAAGAGTTGGTAGGGCAAGCATAAGATAAGGCTGAGCATCCATAACTAACAGCAAGTCTCAGTGTCATGATTTGGAAGCTGGTTGGTGTCACGCCCTCAAAAAAAAAAGCCTCCCACAGATGGCCAGGAGCGTCATTGTACCATGCCTCAAAGCTTCACACTTCTGACATCTAACCACCTACCCTTAGCCTTTGAGGCATTTTGTGAGCTCAGTGGTGGTAGTCAGAGGCCGCGAAAGAACTTAGAAGAGGTGCAGCGAGGGAGGAAATGGAGTGTGGGCTGGGCAGAGGCTGTGTGAGTAAGGTCTGCCCACACACAGAGGCATAGGCAGCACCTCCTCTCACCAACCCTGGTAGTCTGAGAACTCGTGGGCCCACCTGGAGAAGACGACTGGGGTGGATACGCTGGACAACGGCCACATGGGCAGTCTACTGTGTGAGCAAGCAGCCAGCAGTGACGCCAGAGGTCTGACACTGCAGAGACTCACAGGGAAGACGGGCTTGACTGCGGGCAGCAGACCAGCCTCTGGTGACAAGCCGCAGTGTGACAGTGAGGATTTCTAGAGAAGCCAGGAGATGTGTGCCCCACTCAGGATGGGGCGGAGGTGGTAAGAACAGAAATTGCCCTTTGGGAGGTCGCTATGAATCTCCCCTAATGCGGCTCACTAGGGATGTCAGCCAGACCCAGCCTGTTCATAGCCCTTTCTTTCTCCTTCATTTCCAGATGTTCCCAAAGCCCACTTTCCACCAAATTCAGTGACCTTTGAGCTCTCCAAGTCTTATCCTGGCACAAGTGGTAGCTGTGGAGCCAGGGGAGTTTAGAGCCCCGTGAACCAAGCAGGAAGCTCACAGAAACAGGAAACACAAATACTACTTCCTGGGAAGCTAAGACACGGAGAGGTATCTGAATCCAACCACTTCAGTGTGAATGTCAGCTCTGCCCCTTGACTTCTGTGAGACCTTTGACAAGTCATGAACTATTACTATCCTATAAAATGGAGACAAATAGCAGCTCCCAGCAAGCGGGCTGTCGTGAGCATCAAATGGGATTTTAACACCCTCGTCATAGGACTGAGGTGGGGCTCAGTAAGGCTCAGTGCTCGCCTCCCAGGCAACCTTAGCCCAGCTCCTTGCTCTCTCTCCTATCCACATTAACTCTTTTCTAAGTAGCATGACGATCTTCTGAAACTATGACTAAGCTTATCTGTCTTGTGTTAGAAACTTCCACAGCATCTCACTGTCGGCACAGAACACAGCTTGCCAGGTTCCTACCCACCTCTCCTTCTGTACAGGTCTGTGGTCACTAGCCTCCCTGGCCTCTTGTCTCCGCCTGAAACAGAGGAACACCTGGCCCGCAAAGCCAAGACCCAGTGCAAGTATCATTTCCTCAAAGATGCCCTCACTAACTCCCCCCTTACTTCTTAGCACTAATCCTATCCGGAACTGCTTTATTGATTTTGCTTATGGTCCCACCCCAGATCCTTGGTGCCATTCAAGCCCAGCATTTGTAGAATTCAACCTAGGGCTTGCATAATGCACTGTTATCTGTGAGGTTCAGGTAACTGTGGAAATGAAACTAGTTTGGTGGCCAACAGGGGCACTCCGAACACCACAGCCCCAAGTTCCAAACCCTCTACAACAATGGTTCTCAACTTTGACAAAATTCTAGCTCCAAAAAATGTTTTACATTCAGATTCATAACCATAGAAAAATTGCAGTTATGATGTAGCAAAATAATTTTATGGTTGTTGTCATCACAACATGAAGAACGATATTAATTAAGGGGTCGCAGCATTAGGAAAGTTGAGAACCACTGCTCTATGAGTTAAGGCCTGGTCATCTGAGGGCACACAAATACTACACACAGAACCCAGAGTTCCAAAGTCAACACTTTATTCTCTGTTCTCTCTTAGGTGTTCTAGTTTGCAAGCATGAGTAAATGGAACCAACCATAGTCCTCTCCCTCAATGCCCTTCATTTAAAAAAAAAATCACCAATTAGCAGGTCTCCTAAGGAGGATGGGATTGGAGAGTAACCCAGAGGAGGCTGGATGACTGCAGTCACATGGGGTTAATCATCGCATCTCCTGCCAACTCCTCTCACTGAGCAGCCAGAGGCCACAGGCAGCTATAAATAGCCCAGCAGGTCTCTGCTTACAGCAAGGGAATGAACTTGGCAACAACAAGAGCCAGAGGGGGCAAGGCAGGCGAAGACTCCTGAGCTTGTTTTCTGCTCACCCAATGTGTGCCCCTTGGGATGCTGCAAGAGACAGCAAACAATGGAGAGCTCCCTGCCTTCACCTCCACCTGGGAGCGCACAGACCAGACCTTAGTGCCTCGTCAGCAAAAAAAAAAAGTAGTCAAAGAGTAGCAATAAGTGTTCTCTCAAGGACCTCTGCTGAGAGCTTCCCAGGGGGACCCCCAACTCCTAGACAGTGAACAGTTCTGAATAAGAACACCCTTCCTTTGGACTGGCCCTCCTTGTCCCTCAGTTCACAGGACAGTCTCTCGAATGACACCGATGAGGCTGTGTGGCCGCTCAGCCTCCGCTCTCTGCTGGGGCCTCCTCTCCTCCCTAGGCCTTCCAGTCAGGGAAAAGGTGCTCAGGTCTCCACAGCTGCGCAGGTGCAGCAGGCCCGGCTGTCGCCTCGAGGTCAGCACATGGGCCTGGGAAGTGCTGGGCTGCGGTGGGGCCATTATCTTTGGGAAAAGAGGAAAAGGAAAGACGTTAGCCTCAACGGGGATGGCCTTATGTCTGTCTGTGGATTTTAATGTTTAATTGTTTCAGAATAGAAAGGGGATATTTTCCAAAGTAGAATCTACTTAGAATTAATTCTAAAGATGTTTTAAACTTTGCCTCTTTTGTAAGGTTTTGAAGAAATTCTATTTTCTATTGTTTTAGCAGTAGACAAGCTCAATTGTACTTTCTTGATGTATTTTTAACATTATTCTTTTCATAGTTCTCCAGTATCCTTGTGTTCCAAGTCAATGAGTGACTCCTAATGATGGAGAGGGATGTGGGCAGCACAGCTTGTTAGGAATATCAAGTCCCACCTGCCACCTATTCTGAGAGCCTACATGGAAGCTTGATTTGTTGTTGTTGTTGCTGGTGGTGGTGGTGGTGGTGGTGGTGTGTGTGTGTACATGCATGTGTCGAATACACTCTGTGAGTTTGTAGACCAGAGTTGACATTCAATGTCTTCCTCTATCATTCTCCACCTTATTTTTTGGAGAGAGTCTCTCACCACACCTGATGCTGGCCACTTTGGTTAGACTGGGAGGCCAACAAGGCCTCAGGATTTGCTAGAGTTGCAGGCCAGTGCCACCATGCCTTGTTTTTATATGGATACTGAGGAACCAAACATTGGTCCTCATACGTGTACAGCAAACATTGTACCCACTGAGTCATCTCCCCAGCTCTAAGCCTGAGATCTTTAAAAAAAAAAAAAAAAAGCAGATGGTACCAACACTGCGTCACTAGTCTGGATCGGTAATGAATTTACGAAATTCCCATTAAAATCAGTGATGCTTCCGATGGACCTGATAACCCTTGGCTAAACAGCATACAAAGCAGGACACTATCTATCAAAGCTGGAGAATGGTTCTACTACCAGGTCTGTCCTTAATGTGTCATACAACCTTAAACACATAACAGTATTACTTAACAAAAATGCAAAAATATAGACTATTTTTCATCCAACTAGAACTGGTGAGGGAGGACCGGCCAGCTGATAGGTCTATGGAAGGTTGAACTGTCTTGTCCCTATGGTGTGTGATACTGTTAGTGCCTTGGGAAAGAATCAGGAGTCTCACTGCCAGAGAAGCTCATAGGGCAACCATCCCAAAGCCACTCTGTCTCAGTCTGATTTCTCAAGGTCATGAAACATTTAATGCCCACAAAAGCTGTGATATTAAATTTTGTAACACTCTTAGTTATATTCATCTACATAGCAGTTTCTGTCTCCTAATTAAGATGATTGCACTGTTTATCAAACTCGGCTATTATAAGACAAGTGGGTTTTTTTTGTTTGTTTTGTTTTCTTTTGTTTTACTGGGGATGAGTAAAATAGATCTAAAGAAAGTGTGGAAAGCTGAATAGAGTTGGAAATAAAATGTACTCCTGCATTGTCCTTACCTCCTTTCGTCTGGGAAGAGGTGTAGCACTGATACCCCATGTGGGGTTCAGAAGTAGAAGGCCTCAGCTGATGACCCAGAGTCTGTAACAATAACCTCCATAGTTGAACTTCTAACTTGTCTGGGACAAATGATTCTATAAACAGGTGCTTGCTAGGGCCTGTCTTTCCTGTACCCTGGAGCTAACTGCCAGGGATCAGGACTGAAGAAGTGCAGACCTAGTGGCTGGCAGATTCTCTGGAACTTTCTTCATCACACTTCCAGCCTTTGAGAAGCAACTCCAAATGCTTGCTTCTGTTTATGGGCTACTGGGGCCAGACAGAGGGAAGAGGCAGGAATGACACTTGGAGCACTTAGAGATGCCTGGTCAGAAATGTCTGCCACCACCCACAGCCTGACCTGCAGCCGCTTCCTAGCCACTCTTGAAGAGCAAGCTGCAAGAGAGTATGGAAGCCAAGCATCTCCTCTAACTAATCAGAATCTGGCTTTGAATTTTGGTATATATAAATAAATAAAAATAAATGCCAGTGAGTAGAATAGGGAACAGAAAGGAAGTTGAGGAGATGAACTATTCAAGTCTTCCTGGAATGGTGAAATAGCAATTTCACTGAGAAGCAGCCCAACTCAGCATAATACATATTTGTTGGGCACTCCACATCCAAAGGCACAGAGCAGGTAACACCAGGCGTGGAGTGTATTGTGTCCACAGCGTCTACCCTACTGACCCAGAGAATGAGTAAATAACCAACAGTAACAGCAGCTCCCAGACAGATAACGATTCTTGCTGGGAGGAAATTCCACCGGGCTGGAGATACCTCACCCAACCCTTCCCTTTAAAGATGAGAAATCCAGGGTGCACATGGATTCCATGCATGCCTACTTTTGTCTTTTCCCAGAGCAGCTTCAGTTTAGGGAGCCTATTATGTTTTAATCTATGGAGAGAAAGATATTGGTTCCTCTAAGTCCTGTCAGCTACCTTGTCTGGCCCAGCAACTCATGGGCACATGAACAGCTCTTAGAACTTTGTCAGTCTTGAGAGTCTGTCATTTTTAAGGGCTGAGAAAACACCACGTCCTGGGCAGCCTTCCACTGAGGAAATCCTAAGCGAGGTGAGTTCCATAGTGTCCAGAACCTTTGCTTCTCACCAGGCACGGCTCCACCTGCCAGAAAATGGGCTTCTCTTCCCTTGGGCCAAGAGCACCATGGAAAGGTGACAAAGGCCAGAAGAAGAGCTCTGTAGTTTCCTCTCTGATGATATAACCCCCACCCCCAGAACCCTGGAGACTGTAACTGTGGACTTCCGCCAGCCACCGTAGACAGCGGTTATTGGGTGCACGTCTGATACTGATCGTAACAGTACCTGTTCCAGGAAACTGGCACTTGTGATGGCTTCCTCCATGTGCTCCTCATCAGACTTAAGAACGGATTTTATGTTCTCTACAAGTTCATGGATGTCCGGAGTCATGCTGCAGGAGGACTGCTCCAGGAACCTGGCCACTAGCAGCTTGGTGTCAATGTAAGACCTGTAATCTATCAAAGAGCGGGGTCTGCATCGTGATGTCCTTGGTCGCACGCCTCTCCTCAGAGTCACCGCAGCCAGATCTAGCCTTCTTTCTGTCTGAGTGGCAGCTTCACAGCTGAGCACTGGGGTAGCTGTGGGCAGAGGTAAATAACATATCACCAATGGCCAAGCCCCCTCTGGACACTGGCCGTAAATCTCAGTGTAGACAAACATCTAGCAGATGCCTGAGGCCATGCATGTCCATCTCACCTTCATCTTGAAGAAGGAAAGGAATGACGGCGAATGAAACCCATGCAAGCCTATTGTGTGAAGTGCACTTCCAATAGGCTATATCCTGAGACAGTGGAGCATGGCACATAAACACTTCCCAAGGCAAAGACAGGTGACACAGCACAGAATTCACAGTGCGAACCACAGTGGAAAATGTTTCATGGGGTACAGCCAGTAGATGGGAATAGATGGCCACGCAGAAAAAACATGGTGGACCAATGAAAGAATGTTGGGGGTATTGAATGGCCAAAGAGAAGAGGGACTGATGAGAGACTTGTAGGATGGGCACAACATTTACTGTCACAGTACTTTTGTCCTAACCATCCTCAAGGGCACTATTACAGAGGATCACACCAGGCTATGAGGTAGATCTGTGACTATTACATGAAACTTAGGTGCAGAAAGTTACATCATTCCAGGAGTCAAAAGAGGCTCTAACAGTCCACCACGGGCTCTAATGTCGATAAAGGTATAAAGACTGCAGGAAGCTGTTTCACCATGAACTGAGTGAAGAAATGAATACTCAGGTCTGATCCCCATGTGTCCATTAGCCACCATCAGCCTTCAGTGCCCACAGCTGCCAACCTGAGTCTGTAAATCCTCGTAAGTGGAGATTTAGATACTGATGGGAGCAGGAAGCAGAGGGTAGAAGGGTGCTGAGAGGAAGGGAAGGTTTTCTTTTCCTCTGGAGAAAGGTAGACATGAGTTCCGAACCAGGGGTAGAAGCTGTCCTTCTAGCTTACCATGTGCATGTTACAGACAACGTGTCTTCCAAACACCCAGAATCACAGGCTAAAGCCATGTGGGGGCAGAGTGGGGTTTACACTCACTCGCTGAAGGCAACTTGGTGCCGTCCCCAGCAAAATAAGTCAAAGGATAGATGCCCTTTCCTCCACAGGACTGCAGAATGCAAGGGGGTGAAGGAAGATCTCCATTTGCTGTGTCAACAGCTAAGTGCTCCTGGAAGCTGGCGCACAGCCAGCTAGAAGACTCAACTTGCCAGATAGGATACAGGAGATCCACAAGGAAGGCGGGGTTTGGAACTAGAGGCCAGGCTGCCAAGCCCACTGGTTTGCAGAGGCACACAGCTAGTGTCAGGAGGTGGGACTTCCTTTCCACCTAGAAGCTGCTGCAGAGAAAAAAGACGTGTCCTCTGTGACTTCCATATGGTCAGTCCAGAGCTGTGATAAATGACACTCACTGTCAGAGGGACAGAACAGAGACCACAAGGGCCAGAGAGGACCCAAGAGAGTAAGGTTAGAGGATGGTCAATTAATCTGCAAAGAGTTTCCGAAGAGCAGAGTGCAACTACTAGACTAATTCCCTAAAAAGAGGCCCTAACAGACTGCATTACAAAAGCTGATCACTTTATTCCTTTGCTTCCTTTATTTTTATATACTGTTCTATAATGAGAGGTGTTTATAGATATTAAGGTAGTTGTATATTCGAAAAAGGCTCAATGCTATTATTTTGAAATTTTCAAATTACAAATCCCAAAACAAAGAGGGAGAGAGATGAAGTAGGTGAACATGTTTCACTAATCCGAAGTTTTTAAAGCATGGCCAGATTTCAAGAATTAAGACTACTCAAACACAGTAGAAAAGATAACAAATACATATGCCCCTTGGCTGGTTCTCACAGACCTGCCAGCAACTAGAAATCAGGATATCGTTTTCACAATGATCTTGCAGCTATGGCCAGCCAAAAGCTATTGCCAATGACCTCAGGAACAAATTCTACCAGCCTCAAACAAAGTGCAGGGCCAGTAAGATGGCTCGTCAGCTAAAGACAATTTCCTCCAACATGGCGACCTGAGCAGAGTCCCCAGGACCCACATGGTAGAGGAGAGCTGACCCACACAAATTGTCCTCCAACCTCCATATATGAACTACAGTGCACCCAGCCTCCCCTGAAACACCCAAATGATTTTTTTTAATTTTAAAGACATACCACATGTATTCTCCAAATGTGAATGTGGAATATCTTATTTTCCATAGCCTCTTAACCTCCCTCAAGATACTGCATAAAACTTGCATGGTTCTCAGCTAGGAAGAGCTGCCTGATTGTACCTGGCCCCTTCAACCAATACTTAGCACCAGTCAGATAAGCACAGTGGACTACCAAAAGCCTGGGGGATGACATCACCTCTCTCCTCTGAATGGTGAAGCAAGGGATCGCTCTTTGACCTTGTCCTCAGTGGTGGGAGGGCCCTCTGGCTTCTCGGAGGTTGCATCAGGTTGGAAACAGGAGTTGATGCAGATGTGCTTTCTTCACCATCCGTGTTAGGAGGGTTAGGAGGAGCCCCACCTGGTTTACAAAACAAAAACAAAAGAAACAGTTTATTTCAACAGCTGCAGCCTTCAAAATGTTGGTCAGGAAACACCTGCAGGCCCAAACCTGCCAAGGCAAGAGTAATATAATTAATAGCATTTACTTAGGCTGGTGGCCCAGTCAGTTTTTCAGGTCCAGTACCAAGGCAAAGCCATCATCTCCAAATCACACTGCCACACTTAAAACAAGCAAACCAGGAAAACAATAAGGCCAAAGGGCAAAATCAAGAAGCCACGCAAGCACATCAGTCTGGCTTGTTTCCTAGGGGTGTTGAGAATCTTTCTCACTCAGGCATCCTGATGCTGCCTCCAGGGCACCTGAGCTTTTCACACCATCTGGCTCTTCAGGGAGGTGCCACCTACATGGCGAGGGTGCTATCCAAGACAAGCAGATGCACATTTGTCTACCCAGGGCATCCCCAGTTTGGGACACTCTCAACAGTCCAGTGAAGGAGTCAGTGGTTGCAAAATGAATCAGCAAATCACACTGGAACTGCATGATCCCTGCTCAAGAAATGCGGCAGCATCAACTGGGAAGCTGAGGTTCTGGCTGGAAAATTCCTCGTTAAAGATAGATAGATAGATAGATAGATAGATAGATAGATAGATAGATAGATAGATAGATAGATAAGTAAGCATGACCACAAACATGCCTAAGGGAAGATAGTGCTGTTTTATAGTTCTTCTTACGGTAGGGTTGTATAGATAGATAGATAGATAGATAGATAGATAGATAGATAGATAGATAGATAGACAGATAGATAGATAGATAATAAGTAAGCATGACCACAAACATGCCTAAGGGAAGATAGTGCTGTTTTATAATTCTTCTTACAGTAGGGTTGTAGCTCAGCAGCAGGGGCACAGTCTGCCCCCTCCCACATGTAAGGTGACTAGCAGACCGTTCCACACAGCCCTGCTGAACAGCTACCTCTGACGGAAATGGTGGAAAGTCAATCCATTATTTATTGCCATCTGCATTTTGTACCAGTGGACAATTCTCTAGGCCATTTAAAACCTCCCCAAAGACAGAAAGCTGGGACAATAGTGTCCTTAAATTACATGGATAAATGTAAACGGACTCTAGCATAGGCCACAGGACTGAAAAATCTTAGTTGTCTTGGCATTAAAACCCTTGGTTGTAAATGACAGGACGAATATACATTGTAATACATGAAACTCATGTTCCTTCAAAGTAGTTCAGTTCATTTTAACAGAACAAAAAAATGATTAAGAAGAACAGGAATAACAAATTAATCTCCACTCTATTCCATGGGTTCCTAAGGATAATTTGATTATTCGTAAAAAGATTCTAGGTGTTTATCTTTATTTCAGTATATTTTTTTCTTCTTCATGTTCACATTTAGATCTTATTTCTAAGCCCTAAGAGTTGACAGTATTTTGGCCCTGACAAGAGGAAGTGGCCTGGACCATTTGCTCCAAGAATACCTTACCTCCAGCCAAAACACTGGTCAGAATATTTACTACATATTCTAATCTATTGAATTGCAGCTTGGGGAGTGAGGATGTGTGTTACCTTGAGTTATTTGTGTGCAAACTGGCTCCGATGGGCTCGCAGCAGCCTCTGGTCCTTCTGGCATTTGGAATGAAGATTCCTGCATCACAAAGGAAAGGAGAAAGAGGATTTTTTCACATAAGGTTTAAATCATTGCTCAAAGGACCCCAGTAAACTCCTTCGGATGATGTGAGGGTTTATTCCTTGTGAGGAATGCCACCTGTTTCCTCTGGTCATACCTGCTCCTGGCCCATCTGGCTCACCACAGCTTCATAAGGAGGTGGGGGGTCCAGAGGACAGAACACTTCCACACCCTTGATTCGTGCTCCGTAGATATGTGGCAGTGGGATGACATCAGGACCAACCATCCTAGAAAAAGCAGCTGGGCATCAGGAGGCACACTCCGCACACTGGGCCCTGCCTCTGCCTCTGTCTCTAGACTGGGGAAAACTGCTCACAGTGGCTCCATCCAGAAGAGGGATAGCCATCCAGACCGTCCTAGGAAAATGCCCAGGAGGGTCCTCAGGCAAATGATGGTGCATAAAATATAATGCCTTTTTTTCCTTTTAATCACATCAGTGAGAACACAAACAATAGTCCATAGAGACAGAAAGCATGGGTGACTGCCAGGCTCTGGGAAAAGGGAACTAGGGACTGACAGCTTATGTGTTATGAACTTGGCATTTCCTTAGAATGAGATAGAGCTAGTGGTTAGACAATGTGGTGAATATGCTAAATACCACTGAATCATGTAGTTAACAGGATAAGTGAAATCTTGGTTCTCTCCTGTATTAGTACACGGAGAAAACTTCCTGCCTTGTTTTCCCTAATGTCTGGTTCATGACAGAAATTCACTGTCAGTTTTTAACATTTTTTATTCATTTTACATACCAACCACAATTCCCCCCATCTCCCCTTCTCCTTCTTCCCCACCCCCACCTTCCCCCAACCCACTCCCCATCCACTCCTCAGAAAGGGTAAGACCTCCCATGGGGAGTCAACAAAGCCTGGCATGTTCAGATGAGGCAGGACAGAGTCACCCCACCCCCCTGTGCATCTAGGCTGGGGGGAATTGATTTCAAACAAAAAAACAAAAGGTGAGCAATGTCACAGCTTGAGGACAAAACCGGGAGCTAGCTAGCAGAAAGATTACAGAGTGACTCCCTCAGACAGGAATTCTGCCCTCCTCAGCTAAGGATGCACTGTGTCAGGTGTGAGGGTTTGCATAAAAATTAAAAACAGTCATACTAAGGACAGTAGAGAGGTGGATTAAGGTTGGCATCCTATTTTTCTCTGGACTTGATATAGCAAACCTGGCTGAGTTGACGAAAAGATCTGTGTTCATTTGGAATGTGGACACCCCACTCTCAACAACAAAGCTATAGCCAACTGACAATTTCAGCAGAGAAACTTCGGAAGAGTCTCGCGATTACCAAGAAATAGAGGCGCTGACTTGCGGCAGAGTTACACTGTGTGATGCCTGAAGATCCAGATGTAGAACCATCAGGTACCTGTCTATCCAGCACCATGGCTCTCTGCCTGCAGCCATGCTTTCCACCATGATGGCAATGGACTAACCCTCTGAAATGGTAAGCCAGTCCCAATTAAACGCTTTCCTTTATACGATTTGCTGTACTCATGGTGTCTCTTCACAGTCACAGAATACTAAGGTAGAGACAAAACGAGACTATTGTTTCCTGGAATGTTATTTTCTCTGGGCTCCTCTGTGACTCAGCCCTAGCAATGGAGAAGTAACAGCTGGGGAGGTTCTGAAACTAGAGATGGACCACAGAGAATATGTGTTTCATTGCTGTCTGTCTCCAACATCGGCAATTCTCCTCTTACTGTATGAAGTAATCAAATCATCTTACCCTGGCCCCTGATGATCTGCATCGCCAGCAGGCCACTCCCCAAACAAAGAAAGTCTTGCTGTTCCAGACCCAACATTGCCATCTGGCCACCCAGTGATAGCCCCTTCCCTGGCTTTGTGGCCATCTCTGTCTCTGTCTGGGCAGGTCTTCCAGAAGGGGTGAGGTAAGATTCAAAGAACATTAACAATGCCTAAGTGGGACTTATTTCAAATGCATGCATAACTGTCCTCAACTCTATATGTACTACAGATACTCAAATATATATATACCTGATCTCTAAATATCAAGCTAAATATGATAATTTTCCTATAGACCGCCAGAATTTTGTTTTCCTTTTTGTGGTTTAACCTCTAAACTCAGCATAAGGTCACTTCTCTAGGGATGCCAGAGCTGACTGGGTAATCCAGTTGGCTATTCTGGGCTTGGGAGACCTCTGGGCACTGACAACTATGACTCTAACACACGTTAGTGATCTAGACTGAGCTCCTGTCCTGGAAGAGGAAGCCTGTCTAACTCATTCTGTAATCCAGCACAGCACTAAGCAAGCAGTGTTGGATGCACAGTGTTTGCTGAATGAATAAGAGGATTATTATTCAAAGGCTCAATGCAAAGCATCACTAACAACCAGACCAATGCCCATTTCCTGCTACAAATAGATTTAAGAAAACAGTCAAAATTTGAGCTGGAATTTGAAAAGGAAAAAAGCATGGTGTCCATTTAAAAATAACCCAGAGAGATGCAATTGGTAATTATTTTTTTTTCTTAGTGGCTGCAAAGGATTTCATGTCTGTTGGGACCTGCTGATGGTGTTTTAATGAAACATCGATTCTGCCTAACTGGGCACGTTCCCAGGACAACAGAAATTCTCAATCATGTCAAATTACAGCTGTTATCTCCCTAGGTGTCAGTTTTCTCTAGGAAGCTAATTGAAATTGAAAAGGTGTATCTCTAGGTCAAGGTTGGACTTATCTTTGGAGTCATCTGGTTTATCAGAGAGAAACGAGACGACAGGGAGGAGAACAACCCACACAGGACAATCTGTCTGGATGTTAGAGAAAAAAGAGGAAGCCCAGGCTGAGCATTCCGGAGACCACACGAGTCTGAACGTGGAACACAGCACGGAGACCCCAGGTGGCTTAGGAATGAATGATACCTGCGGTTCATCCTTGGTGTGCAGGAGTAAAATGTGGCAAAGTAGGAGGGGGGAGGCACCGGCGGCACAAAGTCGTCTGGGTCTGGAATCCGTCCATGCTCTTCCACTTCTTCTGTAGACATTTGGGACTCATCCTGTTTAAACAGCATGGTAGGAGAAAAGCAGTGGAGCATACGGCAGGGATGGACAGCTAGGCCAAAACACCACACGGTGCTTCCACACACAGTAGGGATGATAAAGCTAGGCCAAAACACCACACGGTGTTTCCACACACAGCAGGGATGGACAGCTAAGCCAAAACACCACACGGTAATCTCACACACAGCAGGGATGCGCAGTTAAGCCAAAACACCACACAGTAATCTCACACACAGCGGGGATGTGCAGTTAAGCCAAAACACCACACGGTAATCTCACACACAGCAGGGATGGGCAGTTAGACCTAAACACTGCAGTTTCCTCACACTTACAATACATGGCCTTCTGGTGGCGAAGATCTGGAGGTAGCGCAGGGCAGCAGCCACCAAACACACTGTGGTGGTCAGGGCATTCAAGGCACACAGGGCAAACAGAACTTTCTGGAAACAACAAGACCACTGATCAGGGAGTATTGTAAAATCATGTCAATACCAACACTGCCCAAACTGAAAAACTTCCAAGCAGATGAGGGCAGGGAATTAGATAGCTTATAGAAGTGCCGAAATAAATTCTGGCCAATATAACCCTCTGACAGAATGCAGATTTCTTAATTTTAAAACTTTATAATTCCAGCTATTTGAAGACAAAGGCAGGAAGATCGTAAGTTCATACCCAGACTGGATAATACAGTAAGACTGTCTAAACAAACAAATAAAAACAAAACCCACCTAGACTGGGTATAGTGAGATACACCTATAATCCAGAACCCTGAAGGCTTGAGGCAGAAGGATCCCAGTTCAGGGTCAGACTCCAATTCAAAAATTAAGTAACCTAAAAAAAGACAAACTCTGAAGCTCCCTGTCTTACAAAGGCCTAGTGTTACATACAAGGCAGTCAGACCTCCTTGTTCATGGGGTTCACCTTCACAGATTCAATGAAGTCCAAATGGAAAATGTTCAAAAAAGAACAAGGCTGTGCTGAAAATGCAAAGACCCTTTTTGTGTCGTTCTTTTTTCTTATATGATATAGAAACTATTTGCAAAATACTCTGCACCAGGTATTGCCTCTAAAGGTGGCTGAAACATGCAGAAGAGTGTGTGCATGTTAAGTGCAAACCTATGCCATTGTATGGAAGGGGCTTGGGTGTGACAGCAGAGTTCAGTGTCCTCAGGGGTGCTGGAACCAATCTCCCAGGGACACAGAGGGACTTTTTATAATGCTATCTAGAAATGTTCCTTCCAGAAGAACAGTGAAAATCTTCTGTAATTGGTGCCCTACCCCACCCCACCACAGTGCTTCCAAGCAGGATGCAATCTGCTTAACCTGTGGCTACTGCTTCTACTTTGGGAGCAACAAGCATTGAAGCCCCAGGCACCCAGCTATACACAGCAGGAACCAGGAGCAGCCAGGGAGTAAACAGGATTTCTTTCTTCAAATAGCAGCAAAGGCAACACTGAAAGTGGCTGTGGCTATAGCCCTGGCTCCTTCATGGGCTTTCCCCAAGCTAAGTCAGGTTTAGAAAGTTCCAGATGACTCAACTACAAAATATGCAGAAGGCAAAGCAAGTAGGTCATTTTTTAAGTCCTGTACTATCCAGAGCTGGCAGCGCTGAAGAGTTCTCTCTCTGAGCTTTCTCCTCCTCCTCCTCCTCCTCCTCCTCCTCCTCCTCCTCCTCCTCCTCCTCCTCCTCCTCCTCCTCGCCAAAATCAAGGAGAGTTGGTGGTGGTTGACTAACCAACAGCTAAGGGGTCGCCAGCTGATTTTGCCACCCTCTGCAGCCAGGCCACAGTTGTCCGGCTCCATCACAAAGGCTGGTTTGCATTTCTCTTTGACCTGAATCCTTTGAGCACTGTCCTAAATTTCTTTTCCTTATTATAATTGCTGCCTATTAAACAAGATACAAAGAACTCACTCTGTAGACCGGGCTGGCCTCGAACTTACAGAGATCCGCCTGCCTCTGCCTCCAGAGTGCTGGGATTAAAGGCATGTGCTACCAACGCCTGGCTCGATACAAAGAACTCAATGTCTCCTTATTTTCCGGCTGATCTTAGTCTGTGTGTCCTAGAGTGGCAACATTCAACAAGTTCATGCAACTCACTACAAACGAACAATGCCAAGGGAGCATGCAACTGAGGCTTTCCTGAAAGCTATACCTCGGACGTGTGTATGAACATACACGTATTGTCAGTTATGACTCCTTGCTAACTTTTTAAAAAAGAGTTTATATTCTTAAACACAATGAAATCTCTCCATACTTAAAGATGCAACCTGTGGCGCTCACTACACTTCTCTGACTGTGGGTCATTAGTGAGGGGCTGCTCATACTTGCTCTTAGCAGTTTGACTATTAGAAGGCCATTACTGAAAGGGAGTATCTCAAGGAGCCTTCTTAGCCCCCCCCCATGTGCATATCTCAGCAGAGCCTGTGAGCTGTCAATCTTACCTTAAGCAGGAGATGAACAGCACTGCAAGGTTGAACTGGAAAGAGTTTCAAGGCATTTTCTTTGTCTGTGCATTTGGCTGGTTGAAATTCTTCACAACAGAAGCAGATCTTGCCTTCACCCAAGTCCACCTTAAGGAAAGAGGCAGAACAGTGATTGCTATACCACACTGCATATATTGTACAGGATGTGATGGGATGTGTATGGTTCCAAAAAAGACCAAAAGAGGGCACTGGAACCCTTGGAGCTGAAGTTACAGGAAGCTGTAAGTCACCCAATGTGGGTGCTAGGAAATGAACTCAGGTCTTCCAGAAAAGGAAGACACGCTCTTAACTGCTGAGTCATCTTGTCTGCCCCAAAGTCCGTTTCTTATACATGCTATAAGGCCACAACAGGACAACATTGGGCTCTTTATGTCATATTCCTTTGGGGACTCAGAGTTGTGAAACATCCACCATCTGGGGGCTGGAGAGATGGCTCGGTGGTTAAGAGCAGTGACTGCTCTTCCAGAGGACCTAGGTTCTGTTCCCAGCAACCAAATGGCAGCTCACACCTGTCTGTAACTCCAGTTCAGTGAATTTGGTATCCTTATGCCAATGCACATAAAATAAAGTTAAAGTATTAAAAAAAAGAAAGAAAGAAACATTCACCATCTCAGTGCTGTGGCATGAGCGACATATCTAAGAGATAGAGAGCACATAGTAAACAACACTTAAGAAATGTCAGATAAGATATAGGACACCCAATGCAAGTGTGAATTCAAACAAACAATCGTCTAAAATAAAGAATGTGTCAATCATTGCTTGAGGCATGTTGATAGTAACAAAAAAGCCATTAGCAATTCATCTGAAATTCAAACTCAATTGAGTATCCTCTAATTTTACTAATCAGAGTTAGTGTTGCCCATCACTTTAGCTTATAACTTTGTGGCCAAAGTGAATCACATGATTGACTTTGATTTCAAGAAGGCAAGAGAATTCCAATCTACCTCAAGGGTAAGAAACACAGGGTGAATTCTGTGAACAGTAAGTAGTCCTGAGCCATGTAGAAAGACCTCCCCGTGCTCATTCTCAATGCAGGCATAGACTTTTAGTGAAGTGATAATTGATGAGTAACCTTGCACATTCTTAATGAGATGCTCTGCAAACTTTTGGCCACTTCCAAGTTTTTCTTAAGCAAGCTGAGAAAATACATAACACCTGGTTTGGGTAAATAAACCCCAACTTGAGGACAGAGGCAATCTTTCTTGCTCTGCAGTCTGAACTGGTGAAGTTGGCTTTGCTTCCCTTTGTCCTAAAAGGCAAGGTTATAGCCCATTCACTAAGTGTTAATTAGGCAGCTCTCAACTCACTAACTGCAAACTCTTTCAGGAATCTTCAACGACTACACAGTCAGTTTTAATTGTTAAAGCAGGTGAGGCTATTTTTTTCTTATTGAATTAATGTTCTTAACCTCTAGTTGCAGTACTGAGTTTCAGTTTTGTGAAAATAAGAAAAAATGGTTCTTCCTATTGAAATTGAGTAGGAAACTAAAGGAAAAAAATTCCCACTACTAGATTATGTAACATTCGGGGAAATTGGCTATTATAGTTTATTTTCTCTTTTTAGGTAAAATTTGCATATTCTACATAAATTATACCTGGGGGGAGGGGTTCATGCATTTAATCTGAGCATTGGGGAGGCAAAAGCAGGCAAAGGCAGATTTCTGAGTTCAAGGCCAGCCTGGTCTACAGAGAGAGTTCCAGGACAGCCAGGGCTACAAAGACAAACTCTGTCTCAAAAAACAAACAAAACAAAAACATTACATATATACAAATAGTAAGTGTGCCATTTGAGGAGTTTCAGGAGTGTACTTGTGTAACCCAAGCCCTTCTCAACACCAGCTGTTACCATCATATCTGAGAACATTCCTTCACCACCCTTCTCCATCAGTGTCTATTTCCTCTCCAGGGACAACCATCATTCTTTCTTTTTGTTCCTTTAGATTAGTAGAACCCCTTCTAGATCTCCATGGATTTCAACATTTTTCATCATAAAATCATGTTTAAGAGATGCATTATCACATCTGTGTTTTATGTAAATTCTGTCTCTGATACAAAGAATGGCAATCAGAGTCACCTTGATGGGTTCTACAATTATCTCTACTGTGCATTCCCATAACTTGGTCCTTTCATGTTCCGTCTAGTGACAACTTAGCAACATCCGACACCTAAAACCACACACAGGGCTGTTTGTATTAGAATTTTCCCACCATTGTCACACGGTGTTGCAGATAAGTCCCACTGTTAACATAGACATTAGCTTCTCACCCTCTAGATGCAAAGGTCTCTCTGTCTAAGCTAGGCTCCATGGAGGGTGGGGGTGGGGAGTGTGTGACAGACAGCTCCTCTACCTCTCAGCACCCCTCTGTCCTACTCCTCCCACAGGCAGTGGGCTGCTTCACATTAAGTTGAACAGTGCCTGAGTTAGCACCGATCACAGTACTGGGTAGTAACAAGTCAACCCTTCTACAGATGACAACTTACTCCGCTTCCTCCTCATGGCAACCAAACTAATTTCCACATGACTCAGGGTGGTTTCCATTTCTGGTCCTTGGTGCAAACCTCCAGACCTCATCCAAAGGCCCACATTTCACAGTTCCCTCTGGCAGTGCTAGGTGTCATTTTACAGAGGGTCCCTTCTTCCCTTTGCCCATTCTTGCTGTAAGGTGTTTAGTGAAGGAAGGTGGGCCAGGGAGGGGATTGCAGCAAGGCTGTAGTCTCCCACCAGACAGCAAAGTACACAGGGACTTCTGCTGTCCTCAGTTTTCAGCATGAGCTCAGATGCAGGCAAGATTGTCCAGATGAGTGCAAGCTAATCCCTTGAAACAGGACTCCTTGAAAGCTTAATCATTACATGGTCATGAATGACAAACTCCATGCCTACTTGCCACGAGGAAGTCCCTGAGGCTCTGTGCAAACAACAGCAATCGACAGTGCATTTCCTTCACCACCCTTGCCGACCCAACACCTACACCTTCATTTTTAATTCCACCTCTGCTTGGTATGTCTAAAGATCTGTTCTTACTTCTCTTTAAATGCTTTAAGTCGCCTGAAAAAAAACAATAAAACTTGCCCCAATTCCAAATGCTCAATTTCCACACTTCAACCCAGAAGTCATTACCTCGTGGTCATGGTGTTTTATTACAGCAATAGGAATCCTAACAAATACGAGTCCCTTTCATACTAATAAATGTCATACCAACTGGTATGACATACCAACTGAAGGAACTATGTGCAGCTTCCTTTCCAGACTGACCACCACTGTGCTTCTCACATTATATTTCACCTGAAGACATTCACGTCATAACAACTGGTCAGCGATGGTCACCACTCTCATTTGAACAAAAAGCTTTAATGCTTGTTTTAAAAGTTTCAAAGAATGTGAGAAAGAACAACAGGTTTTGTGAGGCCCTGGGAGCTTCCCTCATTGGGAAGGTTGTGGGTTTCACTGCAAGAACTTGACCACAGCTTTTCGAGTAATAAGTCAACCTTTGCATCTTCTTTGTTTCTATAAGGTAGATTGCAATGGGACAAAATTCTAGATGCAAAAGATTTACTATAACCCGTTTAGAGTCGGCCCTTGCTTTTGTACTAAGTGAAATACTGATTGGTAGATGTTCCCCCACCGCAACTTTTTTAACATTTAGATACCCAGAAATTCCACTTTGGGGTAATGCACTCAAAGGAACTGACAATGGGGCTTGGGCGAGAGGTTTGTGCACTGCTGGTCACATTGGCTTTACATACAATAGACAAAAGGTGGCAACAACCCAAGGATCCATCCACCAATGATGGACAAAGAGCGTCATCGGTACGGACAATGGAGTATTATTCAACCTTTAAAAGGAAAGAACTCTGACACAGACTATACCATGGTTATACCTTGAGGACATCACCCACAGAAAGACAAAAACTGTGTGACTCTATTTATATGAATGTCTTTGGAGTATTTGAATTGATAAGATAGACAATGGGTAGCTGGGAAGGGGCTGGTAGAGACAGGCAGAGCTCTGGAGAGCAGTGTTAAAGTATGTGACACTACTGTACTGTAACAGACAATGGTTAAAATGAATTGTTTTATGAGCGCTTCACCACAATTTATAAAAACTATTATTTGAATTGTTTTTTGCTTCTTTATTTCTTTGTTTTTGTTTGAGACAAGGTCTTTCTACACAGCCCTGGGTATCCTGGAACTCACTAAGCAGGCAAGGCTGGCCTTGAACTCACAGAGATTCTGTGAACTTACAGCGATTCTGTGAATTTACAGCTTCTTGTTCACAAGTATGAGATCCAGAAAGCTCTGAAAACCACAAGTCTTGATCACAGCCTTCTGTCCCAGATGCCACTGACACGCTACGTAATAGATGGTCTGTGCATCATATTTCTCCTCCAAAATCAGCAGATCTCCGAATGCTGATGCACACCTGGCCTCCAAAGCTTTCAGACAAAGGATCTTTGGCCTGGATTCTGGTAACATTCATTTTTGCTCTTTAGATGCAGGCAGGCACATCAATTGTGGAGACCTGATCCATGCATCCCCTACCTAGCTGCTGCATCACACTGCTCTCGTACTAGGGTTGTACTGGCCACTTGCTACTCTAGCCAAATGACCAGTGACTGAGGAAGGTACCTAGAAGCAGGCTTTTCCCAGCTTACTTTTCCTAGTTTGTGCATGTAGCAAACCAGCGAGGCTGACAGTCCAGGCTCCACCCCAAGTACGGTGATGCTACAGGGTACTTACCAGGTCACATCTGGGCACGCTGGATACAAACTGTGCTCCTTGACAGCCCAGGATGAATCCTGCCAGATTTAAGAGGATGCAAACCACAGAGAGCAGCACAAAAAGATTTACCTGCAACAAGACAGAATGGGTGCTTAGAAAAGACCATGGCTAAACATGCAGATGGTTTCAGGTACAGATATATATTAAATACATATGTTTATGGCAGACATTATCTTTCTGGTGGAAGCTTTAAGGAAAAAAAGTCAAAACCTTAAGAAACAAAGTGAAGTCATGTTTTAATTTTTTTCATAGTTCTAAGTTCTGTGTGCTCTCCAGTCTTTAAAGCAATCTCAGGTTCCTATTTTCTTCCTCTTTGCAAATATTTCTTCTTCGTTGACCTTTTATCTGTACCTTACAGAATGCTCCAGCTATTTCCTCCTTGGACTATTTAGACTTTGCCTGAATTTTACTGGCCAGTAACTGCAGGAGGTAGATGTAGAGCCCAGAGATCTAAGCAGACCATAGGAAGAATAAGAAGCTGAGTCATTAACACCCAGAAATCGCAGTATATGAACTGAAATAAGGGGATAGGATCTTGTTTCAGTCCAAAGCAGCTTACGTTCTAAAGAATGTTCAATAATCTTCCATAAACTTTTTTTTCTGAAGCTAAAAATAGAATCACTTCAAATAATTAAGGACTGACTGAAGTCACCAAAGAAGTCAGTATTTGCTTGGTATCAATTAGAGATTAAATGTGTCTTTCAAGTTGAGAACTGATTACTACAAAAAAAATGAGACCTTATCAGAAAAAAAGCAAATATAAAACATCAGAGTCCATAATTATCAGTATTAAAGCCAGTCATATGTCAAAGCTAGCTAGCAAATGAGTTTATACATAAACTTCAATATACCAAAAACATCTTCCTTTACTTCTGTTCTTATTTCAGATCAGGCCAGCAAGATCTCCTCAGACCCATTCTGTGAGTTAACAGTTAACGCCACACAATGCCACTTTCCCTGGGGGAGGGGGTCTCCTTCTTCCTGGGCAATAGAACTTGGCTTCTTTCCTTTCACTGTTTCTTTGCATAAATGCCATTGTCAAATCTTTGGGAAATCCTGTGGGAGCTGCTGTTGTGCCTGTCACAAGATCGCATCCCCACTGATGGAGCAGCATACAACACATGCCCTTTGCACTGTATCACTCATGGGGAACGAAGGATCCGGAACTGACCAAGGACAGAGTGCAGCCTTCCCACATGAACACCACATAGCAGTTGCTATTTGAAGAGCTGTAGTGTGTCTATAGTCCTCAGACCCAGCAACACAACTAGTGTGACTACACAGAAGACTTAAAGTTTGATGGGAGATGTCATTCTGTAAATATGTCTTATTGATTGATGAATAAAGCACTGTTGGCCTATAGGATGCAAGATAGGTGGGACTAGGAGTTGAGGAGGATTCTGGGAAATGTAGTCAAGAGTGGGGAGTCACCATGTGATCTCCCAGGAGGAGAGGACACATCAGGAGGGTGTCCTTGGAAAGATAAGTCCTTATAAATATATGTTAGTAATTATGGGGTAATAATTAAGTCAGAGCTAGCCAATGAGAAACCATAGCAAATGGCCAACAGCTTCATAATTAATATAGTGTCCTGTGTGTTCATTTGGAATTGATGTGATTCTAGGACCCAGGCAGCTGTCAGGAAGAATCCCGTTTCAAAAGTTGGCTTTGGAAATTTTCCTTTATTTCAAGATAAGATACCTTTAGAGGAAAATGTGGTTATGGCCTGTATCCCCACACTGCATAATCACTAATCTTTATTATTAAAAATTAACACCATTGCATAGAAGGTGTATGAAGTCCCATCACTCTCAACACTGGACCCCAAAACTCTTCAACAGAATCTTAAGCTCATCAAAGACACAAACTAGGAGAAAATATTCTCATAACATAAAATATTTTACTTATACATATATATATATATATATATATATATATGTTCTTGTGTGTACACACATGCATGTGGAGGCCAGAGGACAACCTCAGGTATACTTTTTCAGGCACCATTGACCTTGTTTTTTGAGACAGGGTCTCTGTCTGGAATTCGCAGATTTATCTAGCTTGACTGGCCAGTAGCCCTAGGGATCTGCCTGTCTCTATCTCCCCATAGCTGAAATTACAGTACAACACCATAACACCATGCCTAGTTGGTCTTTTTTTTTAACATGGGTTTTGGGGCTTGAACTTGGGTCTCATGTTTGCAATGTGAAGCCTTTACCAGTTAACTATCTGTCCAGCCCCACAGCAAATATTTTACATCTGTTTGTAGAACACAGAAATAACACCTACCTCAGTAATGAAGTGACAATCCGATTAAAGAATGTTGACCTGGACACACACACACACACACACACACACACACACACACACACACACACGGGGAGGGGGTGAGGGGGAGACGCGCGGCACGGATGAATGGAAGTTAAATTACAATGAAACACCACTACTCCACACCATTTTAAATGGCTAAATTTTCAAAGTCAACAATGCCAAGTGTCGCTGAGGATGGGGAGCATTTAGACATTGTCATGTGAACAGAAAATAGTGTCATTGCTATAGAATACAGTCAGTTTTTCAAAAACTAAATAGAAATCTCCCATGTAGAAGATCCCAAATAATTCATGAAGATACTTCACCCTCCAGTCTCTAATGAACTGCACAGAGTGACTTCCTTCCCAAAAAAATATAGCATCCAAGAGGAGATAAGTAACTCCCCATTAGAGCATGGGTCCTCAATAAGATGAACTGGAAATAGTACTTTGCAACTGTGAAACTTTTCCTCCTCTTCCCCCTCTTCCTCCTCCTCTTCCTCTTTTTCCTCTTGGCCCAACTCATAATAGCCTCCATCTGAGTACCACATCAGACAATTTCAATCTTGCAAAATACCTAATAAGCATCCCTCAAGTATGTCAATGCCATCCTAGGGGACAAGGGAACCCCGAGAAGCTACCTCAGCCAAGAGGACCCTTGGCAGACCTGGCAGCTATGTAACATGGTCTCCTGGATGGGATCCCAGACAGAGGCAGACAGGATGATTAGCTTGGGAATCTGAAGATCAGGGTCTTCAGCTGACCATACAGTATCACTGCTGATTCTAGCTTGTGACAAATACATCATACTACAGTAAGATGCTAATAACAGGGACAAGTCAGTTTAGAGTCCTCTGAGGACCACTTTCAGAAGCAGCATTGGGTGCCAGGGAACTACTGGAATTATAAGGGACACACAGGTCTCCCAGGTACCTTTAATTTGACTCCTCTGGCTTTACCCTGTGATGGTGTGACCTCCAAGGCCTGAGTTTCTGCCTTGACTTTCACTGATGTTGCACCAACAACAAACACTAGGAAAACATCAGCTGTTAACAACAAACATCAGTGTCACAAAAGCCACCCAGCAACAGTCAAGAAGGGGACATTTTTCTTACATTTCTTATATTTTAGTCATTCTTTCCTTTAAAAATATCACTGCAGGTGATTTGAGGTTTTCTTTATAGAAATCTGAAATATGGGGCCAGGATCCAGTGCAAATTTGCAAGACTCACTTATCCTGTCTGTTCAAGATGTCTTTGTCTTTACCAATGTTGAGAAATTGATGTGTTATACAAATTATCTTAAAGTCCTCTGAAAAACACTATACACACACTTTTATTATTTAGAATAAAGGAAAGGGGGTGCTGGAGAGATGGCTCAGCAGTTGAGAATACTGACTGCTCTTTCAGAGGACCTGAGTTCAATTCTCAGCACCCACATGGCAGCTAACAACTGTAACTCCAAGATCTGACACCCTCACACAGACACACATGCAAGCAAAACACCAATGTACATATAATTTAAAAATTAAATTAAATTAAAAAAAGAATAAAGGAAAGGAAATCTGGGCATAATGGCACACGCCTTTAATCCCAGGACTTGAGAGGCAAGGGCAGGTCGATCTCTGTGAGTTCAAGACCAGCCTGCTCTGTAGAGCGAGTTCCAGACCAGCCAGGGTTACATAGAGAGATCCTGTCTTGAAAAAAGAAAATGAATAAGAAGAATAAAGGGCATTCCCTCTTTGGAGGAGGCAGTTTGTTATTACAAAGTGAGTTTTACAAGACTGTCATTAGACCTGGCACTGGCCTTTCACTCTTTAGTCTATGAGCTTCCCTTCCCATGCCCCCCACCCCCACCCTATCCTATCCATCTGTGAGAACTTTCTCTGAAGACCCCACTAAATGACTTCTTTGCCTTTGGCCTCTAGTTCAATTCAGTCATAGAGAAGCCGTGTCGGAGGCCAGAGAGAGAAAAGCGAGGGAAGCTGTGGAACTGGCCCTCTGTAGCCTTCTCTACACCTCTGGCCAGCTGTGCCCTCAAGGGAAGCCATGGGCCCTCTCTGATCTGAGCTTCTGCCCAGGGTGTTGGCTCTTGGATGCAGCCTCCCTGCCCCGCAGCCCAGGTTGAGAGAACAGTGATAGTGCCCTCCTCACAGCATGCATGGGTGCTTGGAACTGTCCCTTCCTTAACCTCATGTCATACTATAATTCTGCCATCTGTTTTGTGCTGGGAGCCTGACACAACTTCTCTACAAAGCGTGCCTGTATTTAACCCATGCTTTCTGCTCTTTGAGCTCAGATGCCTGCCCTCAAGTGAGTCTTCATCTGCCCAGTGCCACAAATTGGGGCAGTGAATTCACAGAAGCAGACCTCACTCTGAAGAAACACAAAGTTCATGGTGCAAAGAGAAATGACTGTCTATGACTTTTATCTTAGAGGGTGAGCTGTAGAGAGAGCCAAAGAGTCCTCCTAGGGAGAGAGTCCTCCTCCTAGGGGAGCCTTTCACACATGCTTACTAGTCAGAGTCCTCCTAGGGGAAAGTCCTCCTAAGGAGAGAGTCCTCCTTCCTAGGGAGAGCCTTTCACTCGTGCTTACTGATGTGCATTATATTTTATTGGTATACTTATATCAAATGCTTTTATCCAAAAGGTATTACTGTTTTGATTTGGTATTATAATTTCACCTCAACTCAGATCTCTTGCAACTGAGATGTCATTTTAATCCAGGTCTTAATTATGTGGCCCCTAAAAAGAATATTGGC